CCCGAATTTTCCGTTCTCACCCCTATCGTAAAAGTCGTAACAGTCTAGTTGTCATTCTCCAGAATCAATCTAAATACCATCTCCCTTCCACCATTTACCATTTCATCATCTTCCTAATTCTTGCCTTTCGTCGCTCGATCTAAATTGAATGCTGCACTAATCAAAGCCAAATGACTAAATGCCTGTGGCGTATTCCCCAGTTGCTCACCACTCCTCGCAATCTCTTCACTAAACATACTCAAGTGATTACCAAAACTCAACATATTTTCAAATATGTTGACTGCCTTTACCAGATACTTCCTATCATAAACACCCGCTCTGGTAAGTGCTTCAACCAACCAGAAAGTACACATAGAAAATGCACCTTCGCGACCACCTACACCATCTTCAGATGTAGAGGTATTGTAACGGAAGACGAGGCCAGTTTCTGTGAGCCCTCCTTTTTCGGGAGAAAGAAGGATTTTATCGATTGTGTTTAGGAAACGAGGATCATTGGGAGAGATGAAGAAGACGAGTGGTGCGATGAGAATAGAAGCATCGAGCATAGTGCGCGATTCGTAACTTTGAACAAACATTTGCTTTTCGGTATTGTAACCTATACATTTGTCAGTTGACCCAAGTTGTTTTAATCTATACCATATGAATGTGAATTACCTTTCTGCATGATCTCTTCGTAAATAGCATCACGAACCCTCAACCATTCTGTTTTGTTCGGGCATGGCAAACAACGTTTCTCTGAAAGACGTACTCCACGGTCAAATGCTACCCAAAGCATGACTTTGGAATATGTGTAGTTTTGTTTCTTGCTTCGAACTTCCCAAATTGACATATCGGTATCTTGCCAAATCTTTAAAACATAATCTAAAGATTCTTAGTATGATGTATTTGTGGAAGATTGATATGAGATAAAATACCTAAAATCTCTCGTACTGCTACCCATTGATCCCATGTGACGGGCTTTCCATACTTGTTCCAAAGGTAGATAGCGTCCATAAGCTCACCATAGATATCAAATTGTTGATGAAAAGCTGCACCATTGCCGATACGAACAGGTCCACTATCTCTATAACCAGAGAGATGGCTATGAATGATTAGTCTATGGAAGGCAGGAAAAAGACATGCCAAGTACTCACCTAAGCTCAAGTTCCGGAATATCAGTCTCGCCCCTAATTGTGAACATGATGGGTAAAGCACCATCTGGACCCCTTGACAACCTAAATCGATCACTGATAAAATTCATGTATGCATCTGCCTCATCGACAAATCCCATCCTGAGTAGAATATAAATAGTGAAACTAGAATCTCGTACCCAGGAGTATCGATAATCCCAATTGCTTAAAAAGTTAGCTAGATACCCATAGAAGATCTCATTATATTTACCGAACTCCTCCAATGTCTTCGGGAATAGAGAACGTTGGTGCTGCAATAATTGCACCGGTAGGCTCGTAAGTTAGTAATTTCAAAATCATCAAACTTCTGGCCACAACCTCTCTCCAACGGCCTGTATATTTACTTTGACCAATCCAATTTGACCAATACCTTTGGGTATCATGTTGTTGTGTATCTAAAACTTCGGTAGTGACGTCCCTGGTAATATGATCCGGAATATCATCACGCAAGACGAATGAAATAGCTTGACCTTCTTGTAATCGTATATTTGCAACAACACCGTCACCTTTACCTTCCGTCTGTCTTACTCGGCGGAATATTAGGGAAGGACATGAATCTATATTCTCCTCACCATGATCAATAGTCACATCGAGTTGAAGCTTCAAATCTTTACTGGAGAAGGTGACCGTTTTACTTTCCAGTGCTCCTGGAGGATGTTCCGGCATGAGGATTTCCAGATCATGTTCATCGCGGGCATAATTGAAGGCTGGAAATATCTCCACATCTAAACAAAGTTGTGAGATATGATGACTACCGCCGTGTTCTGGATCTTTCTCACCTAAATCGACGCTGCCTCGAATGCATTCGACTCGTCGTACCAGCCATTTCTTCAATTCGCCCTGAACTTTTGTAGTCTCCCGGAAAGGCATGGAACTTTTCTTTGCGACATGACTATGATTTGGACGTGGGAAGAAGTCAATCAAATCAACTACTCCTTCTTCATGGATGTATCGAGTTTGTAGGATATTTGAGGATGGAAGATATTGTTGCTTTGTATTGAAAGTAACTCCCTCTGCAGGCGAGATGGAAAAATGGCCACCTGAGGTATTCGCAGAGTTAGTACTGGTAAAATGATATTTAGGGATAAGATAGAATCTGGGGTAACTGATGAAGCTCATTGCGGGACAGGTAAATGAGGGGTAGCTTAATATCCCCAGTGTTTTGAGACGACATTACAAACGAAGCTCCAAACCAACCTTTGTCTTTATCCAGGAGTCGACCAAATATTGAAGGAGAATCGAAGTCTGGCCTGAATTTACAGATGATAAGTATTCTGGGAAATGTAGAGATCCTCTATCGATTGCAAAACATAGCTTACCAGCACATAAAATCAATACTTCCATCAATACCTACCAAGGCACAAGTTCGCATATTCCCAATGAGACCATAGTTCTCAATTGGCAGATATCCTGTATCATGGCGACGAGAAGTCTGCGCAATACCGGGGACGGACATTGTTGATAGATCAAGGTACGCGTTTGTTGAAATGATTGATGCAAGTTGCCTTTTGATGAGAGATGACGAGAAAATAGTAAACGGTTCCCAAAAGAGAAAGGAACAAAGCAATCAAAACAGTGTAACGAAATATTGCAGGAAAAGGAGATGTTATTGCAGTTAAGTCAATCTTACAAGTTGGTGAATTGTGATACGTCAATGAGTTTACACAAGATATAAGATTATTTGTGTAGCCACAAGAATGATGGCTTGGGTATATTTGCTGCAGGAGGTAGGGTTGAAAACAGGAAATCAATACCTTGTTGTTAAGATGAGTAGCTCATAGCTCAATTGATGTTTGAGTTGAGAGAAGTTTGAATATCGGAGTTGCATCTCGGATAGCCACGAGAGAGAAGCTTGAGGAGAAAACGCGATCGATCTTTTCGTCATACCTACGTTACGGACGGGATGTGAGGGGAAAGCTTGACATTTCCGACGTTCCGTTAGAACTAAACCCAACTCAGGTCCCTTTCCCTTTTAGTAACAACACGACCACACGACGACATGTGATGGTTGACTTGATCAATTGACACTACTCGAGTAGGTACTAGTAGAAGGGAATGTCCCGTTACGCAAAGTGCGATGAAATTCCCAGAGTTATCATTGTTTGACCAAGAACCTCAAAAGGGTCAGAGGGACAACATGAGGTAATGGTAAGATATGTTGTGTCCGCGTAATTGAGTGAAACAAATAGCTACGAGAAGATGTCTTTATGGCTTCATCGTCTGACACAACATAAGCGGTCAAGAAGGATAGCTGAAGTAATTAAAAAAAGTTGAGAGTTGGAGTTGGAGTGGGAGTGGGAGTGGGAGTGGGAGTGGGAGTGGGAGTGTGATGAACCTGACACTGCAGAAGTCCTGTCAACATTCGAGATCAGATACTTTCTTGGATTTGGACATTTGTTAACATTCTATTTGTTAACTTCATAGGAAGTCAGTCTATTAGACCTTGGCTCTTAAGGCTGATCATGATTGTGATTTGTGCGTTTTCACCTCATCCTAGAATGTACTGACGATCTGTGGACAGAATCAAGAAGGGTGCTCAAGATGTCCAAGATGTTCAGGAACTTTTCACCTCTAGAACGTCAGATCATACATATCTAGACTAGGATGTAACTCAGATGATAGCTGTCGGAACGGGGCGGAAGTAGTTCAATATACCAGGTACCTAGTTGCTCGGTGGGAACTGCAGTGGAGTGAGCATACTTTGCAGGAAAGTCATCACGGATGTCCGCATTGTCCGGTCAAGAGTTTATCTGTGTATTTATGGCCAATGAGAGGGAGGGAGAGAAGGAGGGTAAGAGATGAAATATACATACAAGGAATACATTGATAATCTCGACTGCAGCATCTCATTCATCATGATTGTATCTCGAGAATCCCATTTGATAGACGTAGATGGGTACCGGCACTCGTAGACAATTCAAGATGATGATCCATACCTAATGCAAAACCTACAAAAGCTGATATCATAGTGGTAAGAAGTCGAGACTCGAGTGGATAATTGAGGTCAAAGCAATCTCCTAGCTGTAGATAGATAGGTAGGTGGGATTACCTTCCCGTTGCTATTGTCCTCAAGGGTGGTAATATCTTTGTTGCCCAACACCAGTTCAAGTCCATCAAAATATGTACGTGGCATGCCTCTTCATCGAGTCTCTTCAATCATGTACTTATTTACTATCGGTACCTAGGTAGGGAGGGAGGGAGGTATAAAATGACAACTGCTGTGAAATGTACCTAGCAATGAATGAATGAATAAACAAGTGTATATATATAATTCTGTATATATATATATAATTCTAAATCTCAGAAAACAAACCAGTATATACATACTTCAAGTTCTCAGAAAATAAACCCAAAAATGTGTAAACTTTCATATATTTAACCGCTCAAAATGACATCCTTTAATTTCGTTTCACAACATCTCATTCGTACTCAAATCAATCGCCAAGTCAAGTAAGTAACCAGTCGCGTGTACCTCATACCGTACACCTACAAAGCTCACACGCATTTGTATCATACCTCACCATCACTTAGTAACACAACTCACACTCCTGTACATTGAACACTGGACACTGGACACTGGACACTGGACACTGTACTATTCTCTGACCCTCTTTTCGAACCCCCTGGATGCTTGCCAAGATTACCAAAAGATCCAAAACTTATCCATAATCGGAGATAAATCGCAATCAAATCGCAACTCATCACGGTATAGCGAGCAAACATAGTTAAAGTGTGAGGGTCTGATCTCCACACTACTACACCATTCGAAAGGTTACAGGCCCAAAAATAATGAAAGTACATTAGCAAATCAACCCTGATTCAGTAATTACCATGGCCTTAGAAGAAGAGACGAGATTCGAGAATCCTGCACAACATCATTCACAATTCGAAAGAGAAGAAGAAGCAGTAGAAGAAGAGGAGGAGTTCTCAAATACCCTACTCAGATCCGATCGAATCTCCACTACGAACACTTCACTCGAATCTTCGCAATCACAATCCCAATCCCAATCACAATCACGGTCAAATCAACCCTCACAATCCCATTTTCCCATACAAACTTTACCAAGAACCTCAATATCTGAAGCATCGGCGCGGTCGGAAGAAGAATTGTTAGAGCCAGATGCTGCTACAGCTCTCGCAGATTTACATCCAACAGATACAAATATGGATTCACAGCCTTCAGGTCATCGGCGGCGGAGGAGTAGCATGATGAATAATATAGATGGAAGTTTACGAGCTCCAAGAGCAAAGCGATCACCCAGAACATCGACAATTGGAGTGGATTCGAAATCCGGAGATAGAGTGTCAGACGACGATTCGAGATCAACTAGCGATGATATGGAATTAAACCATTTCTCAGAAGAGGGTGATTTACAAGATGATGAAGAGACGGGGTTAACTGCTAAATCCAAAGCGAAACGAAAGAAGAAGAAGATACGGCATCAATCAATGGACCACAGAATTGCAGGAGACATCAAAGTAACAAAAGATGAGAAGAAAGAAGCGGATTGGAATGTTGTGAGGAAGAGTTTAATGAATGGAGTTCTAATAGGACTTTGGTATACATTTTCTCTATCAATATCTATAGTAAGTTCATCACCTCCCATCTCGTAGATATTTCTAACTTTCAAATAGTATAACAAATGGATGTTTGACCCAAAACATCTCAACTTCCATTTCCCTTTATTTACAACATGTATGCATATGCTAGTACAATTCTCTCTCGCGAGTCTCGTCCTTTACTTTCTTCCTCAATTTCGACCTCGATACGATTCCATCTCCAACCCTCATAATACACATGTATCGGATTCAGATATGGCTCAACATGAGGTGGATTCGAAGAAACCGTTAATGACGAGAATGTTTTACTTTACGCGCATAGGACCTTGTGGAATGGCAACAGGATTGGATATTGGTCTTGGAAATATGTCTTTGAAATTCATCACCCTTACATTTTATAGTTTGTACCCCCGTTTCGATGTGGAAATCCTTTCATGCTAACATATATAAAAGCAATGTGCAAATCCTCAGCTCTAGCATTTGTACTTCTTTTCGCATTCGTATTTCGTCTCGAAATCCCTTCATGGCGTTTAGTCGGTATCATATTCACAATGACAATTGGTGTGGTAATGATGGTATTTGGCGAAGTGGATTTTTCGACAAAAGGCTTCGTTCTTGTTATATTCGCCGCATTTTTCTCCGGTTTTCGTTGGGGTTTAACACAAATCCTTCTTCTTCGCAATCCAGCAACTTCAAATCCTTTCTCCTCGATTTTCTATTTAGCTCCAATCATGTTCTTTTCGCTTCTCGTCATCGCTACCCCCGTAGAAGGATTTCCCGCCCTTTGGGAGGGTCTTAAAGCTCTAGTAGAAGTAAAAGGTCCAGTTTTTGGTCCTTTACTTCTTCTATTCCCTGGTTGTATAGCATTTTGCATGACAGCTTCTGAATTCGCTCTGCTGCAGCGTACATCCGTCGTCACTCTATCCATCGCAGGTATCTTTAAAGAAGTAGTAACAATTTCAGCCGCAGGATTGGTTTTCCATGATCCTCTCACCCCAATCAATATTTCAGGTCTCTTCGTTACAATAGGTGCAATCGCAGCATATAATTGGATCAAAATTCGTAAAATGAGAGAAGATGCTCAGAATGAAGCACATAGAATTCATGAAGCGACCGAAAGAGCGAGAGAAAGTGGGAGTGATGCGGATGGAGAAGATGGAGAAAGTGATTGGGATGGTCAGGAAGGTAGTTATGTTACGAGTGATGGGGATGTGCTACCCAATCCAGATAGATTCCAAGTTAAGAAGGGGGAAAGCTCAAGAGCTGAACATGCGCCGTTGGTGGGTGGGAGTTCGAAAAAGGATTTGAGTGATTGATCTATTGTTGGTTGATTGGTTGGATTGATGGAGAGATCGATGGGAGCATTGGATTGGATTGAGTTGGGTTCAATCGCATTTTCAGTATAGATGTTTATTTTCATATCAAAGGGAGCGAGACGGCAAGACGGCGAGAAAAGGGGGGGTGAGGTATATATTTATATAAATATGAACCACATACTGTGGGTATGCAACGAAAGCAGGTGATAGCATGAAATTGGATGGGGATACCCGGCGTTTTTTTGTATGCATTTTAGGTACTTAGGTACACTGTCTTAGATGGTCATTTCTGGATGGGTTTGGGTGGTAATATGTGGATGGATGGATGGATGGATGGATGGATGGATGGATGGATGGTTAGTTGGTTGGAGGGTGGGTTAGTAGCATAGCATAGCAAAGCAAAGCATAGCATGCGTATGAAGATATTTGGTTTCTTGGATAGATATTGTAGAAATGCTTGATTGGATATCATTTAACTTTGACTCTAACTTTCACTATGTATATATGTATGACCGTGTATGTTGGGGTATCATTATCATTATCATATCACATGAATCTCTCCTCTCCTCTTCTCTCCACTCTCCACCCTCTCTCCCTGTCTCATCTCTATAACTAGAGCCAAACCCCTCCTCAATTCACGATCCCCTCTCCCCAGGAAATCTCAATTCTCCTCTTCATCCCCAACCCCCTCCCCACCTTCCCAACCAACTTCTCCAAATCTGCATCTCTCTCCCCCTTCCAAAAAACCCTCAAACAAACCCCCTCCTTCTTCCCCTTCTTTCCCAATCCCTCCTCCCACGCTCCCTCAAATCTCAACCCTCCCACCTCTCCTCCACTCATCCCTGGAACCGTCACAATCCCACAAACCACCCTCGCCACCGCTCCCATATACTCACACCACCATGCCTTTTCCTCCCCCAGCACCCTTCTCAACCCCTCCAAAACCCCTCGATCCACCTTCCCCACATCATTTTCCCACCGCGCACACATCGTCAGTGCCAACACCGCAATAACCCCATGCGTCAGCCCGGGCATTCCTGCAATTGCCCCGGAAATAGGCGCATGTAATGCGCGCGCCGCGTTCAGATTCGATATATCCGCCATATTGTCACCCATATGTTTCCCTATATATTCTAAAATTTCAGGGGTGAAGATTTCCGTGCCTGGCTGAGAATGCGGGAGAGCGGAAGAGAGAATTTTCGCAAGCGCGGCGGATTGGATAGGGGTGCTGGATAGTTGAGAGGGGAAAAGAACAAGAGGATGGGTTTCTTGTATTTGAGGTGGAAGTTTGAGATATAGAACCCCTTCGCGATTTCCTCCGCCGCAGAATATCACTTCTTTGATATTGGGAACGGTTGCTATGATTCCCTCAACCACCTCGACTATGGCGGGAAATTGTTCCCGACGTCTTTTACTCATGCCGTGAATCTTTTCTTTTTCCTCGGCATTTACTTTGAGCATTTCTTTCGTTTGTTTGAAGCGTTTCCCGGATACTGTGTAGCCGGCGATAGAGGGGATAGGATAGGGATTGATGGGATCAGTATGCATCAACATGCTCCCGTAACCTCTAAATCCTCCACCGCAGAAATATATCGTCACACCTTCATCCTTCACATGCTTTTGAAGTTTGGGAAACCTGTGACATAATCCCTGAAACGTCTCTTGGAATCGAGAACGCATATCGGTGCGAATATCATGAATGTCACCCCCCTTCAATTTCGCCGTCATCTTCGCTGCTCCAAAAGGCATACTTTTCGCACAAGCTGCACTTTTCGTCCAATATCTTTCTCCCTCTTTCTCTCCTTCCATCTGTATCTCCGCAACCCCTTCCATTCCCCTCACAGCATCCCCACTATCCATAAACGTCATCTGCACACTCCCACCCCCCAAATCCATCATCACGCCCTCCACTCCTTCAAACCCACTCCTCGCCCCCAACGCCCCCAACAAACTCTCCACCTGCGGACTCAAAATATCCACTTCCAATCCACTCTCCCTACTAATCGCTCTTGTCATCTCCTCCCTATTCTCCGCCGTACGCATCGCCTCCGTCGCAAAAACCCCAATATTCTTCCGCAAAACACCATACGAATCGCATATCTTTTTGAAACCCGCTAGACACCCCGCCACGCGCGAAACCGTCTCGGCGTCGAAGTAGAATTCTCGAGAACCGGGAAGAGAAGAATGTAGAGCGTCGTAAAGAGAAATGGCAGCGCGATCGCGATAGATGCAGGGAAGGAGACGAGATGTAGGAGGTGAGAGATCGGAGATGGAGAAGCGGATTCCATTGCTAGGGTTTGTTTAGTAGGGGATTCTTTCTTTCTGTATTTTATTTGAAGTTGTGAAGTGAGGGGTTGGAGGTTCGTAGAAAGCGGAAATCTACCTTCCCATATCAACTAAAGCATATAAATGATCTGTGGATTTCTCGACGCCATTGATATCATGAGGGGGCATTCTGTTAGAAATGTTATCAATGGTTATGACGGATGGATCTGCCACAGAGGCATCTGTATTATCTCCCATCTTGAAATAAGAAGTTATTGAAGACGTATGAAATCTTTTATGAGAATGTCTCTGTGATTTAAACAAAAGTCATTTGGGAAATGACATTGAAAGTGGCATTGTGGTACGCGCTGCCAACTTTTTTGAGGACTTGGATGTTGTGTCGCTGGAAAATGTGCCCCGCGTTTTGGAGGGGCATGACATGTGATTGAAATTGTTCCTTGACGTTTTGGATTTTTGGATTTGGGGTGCTACACTGGAACCATTGCCATTTAAAATTGTTCAGCTATTGAACATCTTGTGGCTAAAGATTTCTGACAATTTTGATAATGCTTATTTAGTAGTTCATTGGATAGTGTCACCAATCTCACATATCATATTGGCACACAGGGTAAGATATAATCAAGTTGGATAAGATAAAACAAAAAGTCTCTATTCATACAACTTATAGCATAATCATACAAGCAGAATAGGAAACTAATAAGCAAACAAATTTAAAAATCAACGCTTAAATCTTCTTCTCAGTAGAGAATTCATCCATCAGCAAAGTTCCGCCACAGTTCAATCAATACCACATCCACCAATGCCCATGGTGATTCTTAGAGTTATTCCCCCTTCAGCTCCTTCGTGAACATACCCATTTAGTAGTATAAGACCACTCCAGTTCAATCCAGTCCAATTCAGCCCAACCCAACCCATTAGGAAATCTCAAAGCCCCTACAACCTATTCACTAATACCCAGATCACCAATCTTCCATCTCAATATCCAAACCACAAGTTCTATCAATATCAAGGTTCTTTCATGCCCCCAGGTATAAATCCAAGAAGGAAGTTCCTCACTCACAAAGTAGGAGTGTTTTCAATTATAGAAATGTGAAGTTTGAGAAACCAAAGTTAGTCGTTAGTTACGTTGTGGCGAACCCCGTCATCGTAAATAATCCCATAGGAATTCCTCGTATCATTCGTCAAGTCGGTATCGATGCCAAAACCATCCATCAACCTTGCTTTTCTTACATGCCGTGATTATCTTCGTCCACGTTGTCATTATGATGATCGACGCCGTGGAAGGCATCACCAAACGCACTATCGTCGACGAGATCACCCAAACCATGTCCATCATCCCCCATGGTATCACCTGCATCATAAGAAGCTAAAGCATCACCAGCTGTATCTAAATCTTCAAGATCGAAATCATTTTCATTGAGTTCGGTATGATGTTCTTGTTCTTCTTGTCCCCCCTGATGTTCTTGATGTTCTTGATGTTCTTGATGTTCTTGTTGTGGTTCGGGTAAGGAGGTAGAGGTTGTTGGTTGTTCTAATGTATTGTCATCGGAAGATGGCTTGGAAAAATCCGATAATGTTGATTGTTGATTCTGATTTTGAGTTTGAGGATTTGGTGTATCATTGTTTGTATTGTTGTTGGAAGGGTCTGCTGTAGGTGAGACACCTCCTGGTGGGACAACAACCCAATCTGATGTATCAGCACCGGTTGTGGGTGGCGCTGTTGTAGCCATAGGTTGCTGAGTTTCTGCTGTTGAAGATGAATCTTGCATGTGAACATCATTTTGTTCTTGTTGTGGAGGAGATTGACTCTGTTGTGTCATTTGTGGTGTTCCCATAGTCTGAGAAAGATGTGGAGATGCCATATGTAAAGCTCCAGCTGGTGTAGTTGCTGCAGAAGGATGTTGTAAATGACCAGGAGTTGGATAACTGGCACTTACTGGTGTGGCATGTGATGAAGATGGGTTACTATTGTGGAATTGATCCAGTAAACCAGCAGTAGAATTGGTCATATCAACATCACCAACATCACCAACGTCAGTGTCATTCATAAGAACACCACTTTGTTGAGAATTATTTCGAGAAGGTTGAGAAGGTGGAGGACTTGCTCGTGCAGCAACTTCTTCATATCCACCATCTTGAATACGACGAAGTTCACTAATCGCAACTGCATGACGACCAAGAGAAGCTTCGACCTTTGCAAGAACATCATCAACCTTGGAAGGAATCTTGATTGGAGTTTCAGATTCTTCATTCTCTTCTTCGTCGATTTTACCTTCCAGTCTCCAATATTCGGGACCAATATCTGAAGGATTATCAACAGCTGTTCGTAATTCTTTCTCAGCTTGAGAAATAAGAGAACCTCTTTGAAATTTTGCAAGACGCTTTGCATGCTTTGCTTTCATTTTTTCAATATCCTTGTTGGTTTGGGCAATAGTATCATGAGCTCTTTTACGGAACTCATCTGCCTTTCCAGGATCAAGACGACCAACATAATTAAGTGTTGGTTCTTCAGTTTCTTTGAGAGGTGCATTAAATATGCCTTCAGTGAGACTGCTCAATTCACCACGAAGACCAAGCCCAAGGTCTGTGGGAACAATTTGATTAATGGCGTAGGGTGAAGAGAGTACTTCCTCCATCCACTCATAATTTGCAAGGAATCTGCTATAACTAATTTCTCGAGGTGTGGTAAGATCAAACCAATCTCCTCGAGAATTTTCTTCTTCGTCTTCTTCGACAACTGCTGGAGCATTATTTGCGACTGCGGCTTGAGCGACATTTGCAGTACGAGCGCGTTTCGATGGGGGACCAGGTTGAGGATGAGTAGGATATGCCATTGATTGAGGAACTCTTGGTGGAATGCTTGCTGCATACATTGGAGCACCTCTTGGGTGACCACGAGGGAAATCGATTTTTGCCCAATTTGCTCTATCGTGGAGTAAAAACTCCTTGTGAATAAGTTGACCTTGTTGATGTAAGTATTGTCGTGTACTCATAATGGTTTGAATTTGTTGATTGATTGGGATCATATGTGGTGGGAGACGATCCTCGGGAGGAGCTTGAGTATAATGTATAATCCATAGATTTGGATCAGGTGAAGGGTTTTGATTTGGGATTCGTGGTGGTAAAAGTCGATATCGGCGACGAGTATGAGATGCGATAGGTTCTCCAGTACCATAGCCAATTTTGCAATGATAAATTTCTAGAGTCTGCGAAAGCAAACAAGGTCAGTTAAATCCTGCCTAAATCACATTCATATAAACTCACGCAGCCCATAACTTCGAGAGAGAAAGCTGTCTCTCCAGGAGCCCAAACGTAGCCATCACTTGGGAATTCCTGACCCAATGTAGGTGTTTGCCATGATAATAAGACTGTGCCATCGACCGGTCGGTCCAGGTAAGTCCAATAAACCGGAGCTTGATCGCGAGTAATTTTTGGTCCATTCATAAGCCATTCTGCGACTCTTTCCGGATGTAATTGTGTGGGTGTAATTGGAAATCGATATGTAGAGAGAAGATGAACGTGATGTAACTGCGCAATGAATTAGATTATTATTGACAATTGAAGCTGGAAGAAGTTGTAAACATACCAAGTCGCGATGAATCCCTTGAGAGGGGTCTTGCATTACCTGCATCGTGAAGGTAATAATTGAAATCGCAAAGAGAAAAGGTTGTAATTGCCGCAAGTTCGAAGAAAATTGATCAGGAAAGAAATTGATAATGGACGGGTGAAGTTCACAATCAATCTGTCGCGAACGTTAGCAGACGCGAATTTGGTGATGGAAGTTGAAATGGCACTAGTCCTCATCTAGCACGTGATATCTTACCTCAATGTACAAGGAAGGAGACTTGTGAAATTGTAAGACAACAACGCGTAAGAAGTTTATAGAAAACTCGCTGGAGCGAACATCGGGCTCTCAGAATCTTTGAATAGGCCACAGGTATGGGTAGCTATCATTACCATATTCTCAAGAGAAAGTTAGTTGTGGCATTCGCCCAGGAAATCCAATCCAATCCAAATGGGGTCAACAAACAACGAGTCCTTCCAAAGTTCCAATTTTGAGTTAGAATGTCGGGTTATGGTACCTCAAGCAATACCATATTCGTTGACTTCTCCCTTGTAATAAAGTATCAAGGTCTCGGGTTCCAAATCCATCTCTGGGAATTGTGCACATTTAGCATTGTGCTCTTCCAAGAGATATCCATTGAATCCTTCGTAATTCCAGTCATAATCTTCTCTCTGATTGGATCGTTAGTTTATTGTGTCTGGATGATTAGACAATTTCAAAAGAGGAATGACAGCAAGTCAATTACATAGACAAGAGATACAACGAGGAGCTTATAGGGCACGCAAGAGTATATACTGACAGTATCCATTGCATCGCTTTCAAGGGATCTCAACACATTCGCAACCCCGAATTCTACTACCTCGCGACCCAAGGCAACAAGACCTTTGCCGTTTGGACGTAGCAAGAGTCGACTTTCCGAGATAGCTAGAGGAGAATTTGGACATTTTGGAAAATTCGGGATGAGCACCGGCTTTGCCTCTTTCTTGTTCTTGACAACTCCGCTAAAGGTAGTTTCTTTGGCGAATTTCGAGCTAGACACTGGCTTTTCGGACCTTTCTGGCTTTTTCGTTCTGATTCCGCCGGAGTTATTCGTCTTGATAGAATATTCGTTCTTTTTATCAAGAATCATTTGATCTTCCTTGGGTTCAACGTGTTCAGCGGTGTTGCGAGACTTTTTCAAGGAAGTCTTTATTCCCCGAAGCAAAGCTGCTTGCTGTTTGCTCAAGGGGGGATGAATGAGTCGATTGGGATGATTAGGAGAGGTCGCAGAAGTTGGCTTTGGGCTAGATGTCATCTCATCTGGGCTAGAAACCTGCTTCTTTGGAGACGTTACCGTCCTTTTTATGCTCTTCGTAATTCTACCTTTGAGTGTTTTATGGACAATCTTTTCGTGCATCTTGCTGGACGTCGCAGGAGCAATTGGGTTTAATTGAGAAGAAAGCATCGTGATTGTAAAGGTATGTATGAATTCTCAATACGTTATTGTGTGTAGTTAGTCAGTTGTGTTTATCGATCGTGGTTGTTATTCGTAATTGTCGATATGGTGGTGGTAACGCAGGTCGTAATGGTTGTAAGTTTTTTTTCTAGAATCAAATTTACTTTTAAGGAAAAGAAGAAGATAAGTTATTTCAATTAAAGCTACGGTACATAAGAAGAGGCTTGGAGATAACCACAAGGTGTCTGCAGTACCTTACTGACCGTATCGAAATTTCATTCGCTTACATTCAAAGTTGACTTTTGGTATTTTATAGTGAATTTGGATAGGCGAGTATGATTGATTATGATGAGAACGATGACGAGGAAGGTGAAAGTGAAGTCTGGGAGAGATTTATAATGAATACTATCAGTTTGAAGCTAGCCCAGGAGTTTGATTTGCTTTTAAGTAGTGGTTATGGAATATTGATATCAAAAGAGCTAAGCATCGCTTCGAGGATTGAGATAGGGGGAAACTGGAAGAGTAATTCACGTCGCATCTATCAAGAATTGACTCTGATTTATGGGTACAGTGCTTTTGGCACTACATGGTGTGCTGTGTAGCAGTCAATTTAAGCTTCAAGGCAGTCATCGACTCTAGGTCAGCATGTTATCTACTCTTCATTAGCGTTATTGTTGACTCCAGATCAGCGTTATCATCTGATCCTCGTCAACTTTCCCATCTTCTCCCAGTAATCTCTTCACATCCAGACCTCAACCCACCCACAACCTACCAAGCGATGTCAAACTCCCTTCTCAGCACAACCATTCCAATCTCGATCCTCCGGCAGTAAGCACCGCCCCCATATCTCTCATCCATTCCCAACCTATCTCAAGCTCCCAAGTGAAAATACGAATACAGGCGTCACCCATCATAGTAGTAGATGAATCCTTTCAGCAAAGGCAACAGTAGCCCCACCACCCAGAAATATGAGAACAGAAAGTCGAAGAACTACCATCTAAATATCCACATGTGCTCCGCGCGTGCATTCGATATCATAGTAGGTAGAACTTTAGGAGTACTTCTCATGAATATCCACAACAAAGTTTCAACTTCCCCAGCACATCAGGTATGCACGGTATTTACTATTTTCCCGAAGTAAAAATATAATATGACATATACACATACTCTCTATTCCTTTCTCTTGTTAGACAGTTCTAAAACAGAGGCGGGGGGTTAGACGAACGATTTGAAATCATATTCTAGTTCCATGGGGTGTTGTAAGATCACAAAATCGTCTAGTTTATATACTTTATCATGTTTGTCGGGTACGAGGATCTTCCTATCCTTCTATAATGATTTGAGATTTGGGATTTAGGATACAAGGTGGGCTATCGATGATGATATGCGGTATGTGGGGATAGGGTGGATGGAGATTCTGGGGGGATTTAGGGGGGTTTAGGGCTGTGTAGTTTATTGATTTTCTTTCGGAGGTGTGGGATTTGTGATGGTGCTGTTTTCTGCGCTTACTTGCTTTCTGTCACTCTCACTTTTACTTGTGGATTGTAAGCTTGTACGGTATTCATTATCTTAACTATCAAACGTTTGCACCGAACGCCTCATACACCGCGGGACATTCAAATCAACACCCTTAAATTCATAAAACTCCCAAGAAAATCCACCCCAAGAGTCCGAAGAAACCCCCGACAACCCTACCACCCCACAACCTTCATCCTTACATTCATCCCGCCAACCGGCTTCGTCGTCACCACCCCACCCACCTTCACCTCCTCCTCCTTATCCCACATTTCCCACTCCAACCCCCCCACCGTCCCCGCCAACAAACACTTAAACTCACTTATCGCAAACCCTCTCCCAATACAACTCCTCTCCCCATGAAAAAACGTCATATTCGCAAAATTACTCTCCGCCCCCCCAGTATTCGCACATCCGTCTTGAAGCCAACGCTCCGGAGACCATTCGTCTGCTTTGGGGCCCCAGAGAAGTGGAGATCGGTTGATGGCGAGAGGAGAAATGAGCACGCGTGTTCCGAGGGGAAGGGAGATGGGTGCGGAGTCGGGGAGGGAGATGCTTGTAGCGCGGGTGGTCTTGCGCACGGAGAGAGGAACGGTGGGGTAGAGACGGAGAGTTTCTTGAATCATGGCGTTGAGGATGGGGAGAGAATCGATGATTGTGTGGTCTGGTTGTGGGGAGTTTGGATCGCTGGGAGAAGGAATCGCAGCGTGAATTTCTTGACGGAGTTTGGTTTGCCATTCGGGATGGATGGCGAGGAGATAGATGGCCCATGTGAGTGCTGAGGATGTGGTTTCGTGACCAGCGGCTAAGAAGGTAAGGAGTTGGTCTTCCAGATCTTCGTTGCTGAAATCGTTGGATCGGACGAGAATACTGAGAATATCCATTCCGTCGACTGTTTTACCCTCGCTTACTGCTTGACGTTTTTTATCGATGACTTCGCGACAGAAGGTTCGGAGGTTCCCGGTTGTTTCAGCAATTACTTTGCTATGTCTGAAAGGCAGTTTTTGAATGAGATCTTGGGGACCGAAGATATTGGCTGCGAAGTAAATACCTTTACTAAAGGTAGGTTCGAGAAGTTCGTTGTAATCTCGTACGAGAGGATCGTCTGGATTTCGAAGAGCACCGAAATCTCTACCAACACCAGCCACACCAATAATATCTAATGTAACACGAGTAGCCCATTCGTTAAATTCGACGTGTGATTCATTTCTCTTTTCCAATGTACTCGTTTCGCTTATTTCTTGAGAAATACCTTCGACAAGACCAAGAGCTTTAGACCAGAATACTGGGTATAGTCCTCTGATATGTTTGACTTGAAAAGCGGGAAGTAGATGTTTGCGTTGAAACTTATGAAGAGAACCTTCTGACATGATAGGCCCCTCACCCAAGATCAAGGAAAGGAATTTCTGAACACCATATGGTTTTTCATAATCGTATGAATTATCCGCTAGAATACTTTTCAATACTTGAGGAGATGTTGGAATAAGTCTTTCGATATTGCCAAAGGATCGGATACGGATTAAACCATCATTTGGTACATCTTTAACGAACTCTTTGATTTCATGTCCAGGTGGTTTGGTAAATTGTGCTGTGCCATTACCCCAGAGATAGTTATATGACTAGACATGAATGTTAATGATTGACGGAAGTTCAGGAGAGTCGAAAAAGCTCACCACTGGACCAGGTAGATGACGAAGAGGACTAAAGAAAAAAGGATATATGAACATGCGCCAAAATGAGAATAATGAAACATCAACTAGAAGAAAACGAATCGCTGATCTCGAAATCCGGTCGACAATGAAGTATTGTGGAAATACATAAACCAAGATTGCAGCAAGAGCTGAACAGGCCAGCCATTCTGTTTTCCCCATCTTTTCGATTCCTCTCAATCAAATATATCCGTGTGTGATAATGCAAAATAGAAATGCAAGTAATTCAGAACAATAGAAAGAAGGAAGTCACATATATATATATATATATATCTTATACACCGCAACCTCGAATCGCAACCACGAATCGCCTAGCCATACAAAACCGTACCATCAACACTTTAAAAACAATCTGCATGGCAATCCGATGAGCGTTTCAACAACGAAAGAAGACAACCCTGGCAGTCCGTCAATAAAGTACGATCAAGTTCATCTTTGATCTCGGTTTCACATGCTATTTGACATGTTTACAGCTTTGACAACACCAAAACTGTTTGATTTCTGCCTGAAACACGATGCGATGGAACAAGGGGTACGTTTCTGAATTTTCCTTGCGAGCCGGTAAAAGGTTTTGCAATTAAGGTATCATCAAGGCTGAATTAATAAATCTTGATAATATGTGGCGGGGTAGGATAGTATGGGGAAGTGTTCTTTCTTTGGGGCACGCGGACTCGAGGCGGGGTATGCTCTGTAGAGAATTGGCTGACTAACCTAAGTGGAAGCATTTTCTGCTACCATCCCCCTTATCCACGAACCGATCATGGCCGCACCAATCATTTCACCGAAGACTAGGTATAATTTGTGTGTAGATATAGTTTGAAAGAATTATAAGTGCAAACAATTGTTATGCTTATCTATTAAGTAAAATGTACTGCTCTGGGTAATTTCGACCATACACATTATCGTGGCGTTGTATTTCAAGGATCAGCTCGATCGAAAGTGTGCCATTAATAAATCCAAAGCCATACCTCGGTGTGTGTCTTTTGACATGCGCCGACGATCATTACTTCTCTCTCTCGCCCTCTCTCTCGTCCTTTCTTCCTCTCCCCAAAGCTTCGGCTAGCCTAATACCCACTGACTTGACACCAGCTCTTACTTTGACAATTATCCTAAAACCTTCAAGCCACCCTTGGTTTTGCTTCCTGCCTTTTGAATGCCAGCTCCAGTCCTATCTTTATTTCCTTGTCCCCCATCATTCCTATTACCACCTTTACCCTTATTCTTGTTATTCTTTCCATGTTTGTTGTCTTTAGGTGTAACAGCCTTGATCTCAGTAGTACTTCTTCTCAAAAGAACAGGGTGACTACCGATATATTTTCCTTGCATATCCCTAGCAGCTTGGAAGAAATCATCTCCATCACTAAAACTAACAAATCCATATCCTTTACTTTTTGTAGTACGTTTATCCCGAATAACTCGTGCTTTTTGTAATGATGTCCAACGAGAAAATGCCTTGTGTAAAGATTCATCAGTAACTTCACCAGCAAGATTACCAACGAAAAGGCGAAAATGAGAAGGATCCCATTCGAGAAGGGAAGAATCTGTCCACTGTGAACCACCACCTGTTCGTACAACTGTCTTTTGATTGGTCTTAGAATCCGACACAATTGCTGCGACACCTGTATCATTATGCGCGGCGTTTGTGATTGCTTGTGAAGTCATACTAGGTCCAGTCTCGGTTCTACCTAATGGTGTCGCATTCGCATTCGATGCTGATGTTGAAACTTCTCCAGTTGCTGGATACTTTCGAACAGCTCCAGTATACCCATTATTAGAGGCAGAAGTTGCATTTGCATCCTTTCCAGCGTATGCGCTCTGCCATTGTGCGATTTGTGCTGCCATCTCTGGATCTTCATCGAATCCACCCATACCACGCCCTGCAGATGCTGTCGGTGGCGCAAAAGGATTTCGAATTTGTGGTGCAGCTCCATATGCAGCTTCTTGTTGTGGTGCAGCAGGATATGAGTTATATGGTTGAGGTTGTTGATAAGCAGTGGGAGGTTGTTGAAAGCCTTGATAACTTGGCTGTACCGGAGCAGCTACCGATCTGGGAGCAAAACCAGTAAAGCCGCCATATCCTCCTGATGCAGGAGGTCTTGATGGGCCATTGTTGTTATTGCTGAAGGCAGGTTTAAAACCAGCTTGTGGATTTGTGGATGGAGGTGGTCGAGCGGGTAAGGAAGGATGTGGCGAAGGAGTAGATTTAATACCTGGTGGTGGTGGATAGGACATGATGAATTGCTGTGCGTATATATCTCTTGATGAGTGTTTAGACGTACCTTTGCGCTTTCAAAACGCACTGGTTATACCCAAAATCCTAAACAGAAACTGAATAGTTCTTGCGGAACTCTATCGTGATTGTTGCGAACTTTTCTGATGTAGATATCTTGTGATCTGTTACTAAGTGGCGTTGAAATGTGCGCGTATTTGATTGATACGGCTGTGATAGTTTACGATCTGGCAATGCGACCGACGTTGTCGTCTGCGATGAGGCGCCGAGAATGAGTGAATCTAGAATTATCTTACAGCACGTGATACATGGTTAGTCAGCCCAGGCTGGGCATATAGCTGACTCAGTGATGAAGCCTTAAAACGGGGGCTCTAAAATGATGTTTCGGGCCGATCGGAAAGTAGAATTTCCCGGCTGTTTTAGCTTGGTGGGGTGAACTACGACATACCTAGTCAATAAATATCAACAACCACTTGGCTCGTCATAACTGTCGGTGGTGAGAAGAAAACGGAAACATCTAGAAGTCTAGATCTCTAGAATTTCCATAAACGAGGACCTGAGTTGGAAGAGTTGGTTGACGAGAATGGAAATTGTACTTTGTAGATGAGTGTACCTGGAGCGTGGTACACATTTACCAACCGGAGAAATGACAAGAACAGAAGAAAATATGTAGATAAAAGTGGGGTGGAGGGGATTGACAACTTACACTTGCAAGTTACGAGACCAACAACCTGACACCGAGGAACAGAAAGAGTTGTTGAACGGAAAATCTTGTGGTATGTGTGGCATGTATGGTATGAAGAATAGCTGGAGCTACTACTTAGGCACTTGGTAGGTATGATATGAGTGAGGATGATATGAGTGAGAATGAAAATCCTTTTGTTTCACATTCACACAGCAGCGTAGCTAGCACGAGTAGACATGATTGGTATAAATCTCATCTCTCACGCAAATAAGCAATATCAAATGAGATGAATCATCATGAGGCGTCACCGAGCAAAGAAATGTCTCATCAGCCATATTCAACAAAGCCATATTAATTTGGATCCCCGGACGGATCTTTTTCTCTTCTCGATACAGCTTCACCGAAGATATCAAGGAGGGACGAGTTAGTAAGGAGGGGTAATCCACCCAACCAATCAATGTCATGGAATCCAATTAATTGACCAAAAGAGTTAAATGATTAAAGAATCTTATATAGAAATAATCCAATCATTTTCTTTCCTACCTCATAATATTCCTCTCCATCGTATAATCTCCCACAAGTTCTTCCGAAAACAGCTCGTCGGCGTTTATATTCTTGGGACGCTTGGGGGAAATATCTCATCCAAGCAAGGTAAGGAAGAGAGAGGTCAAGGTCATCCAAGGTCATCCAAGGTCATCCATCTAGGTATCTATCTTGGGAACGAAAGGGTCGAGTACGGAGTATGGACAGGAACATGAGACCAGGAAACCCACGAAATAGTAATAGCGGTGCCGCTGCTTCTGAAGTAAGTTAAACTAATAAAATAATATGAGAGCTTTGCTTTGCTTTGCCCTGCTTTGCCCTGCTTTGCCCCTCCTTTTAAAATGGTTGTTTGGGAGAAGGCCCAACCATCTTTCATTACTTAACCATCCTCCCATCCCATCCATCTCTTTCCTACCTCTTATATTTTAGTCTCCCTCTTCATTCTTTCCCCCCATTTCTTCCAAACAACAAATTAATTCTCAACTCTTTTGTCAACAACAATCATTGAAATATCATCAGGATAAATTCAATCAACGTTTAATTCATCTACAAAACCATCTCAAGATGTCTGCACCAGAAGCAACGTAAGTATTCATTTATACTCTTCACTCTTCACATACATTCCGCAAAAGACATGTCCCCCTCCATGTTGTCGTTGCAAAAATAATACCCCGCCATCAAACACCTTTCTTCTCAAATCAAGCATACCAACAAATATATCCTTCAAACACACTGACTGACAATGATTCAGCGGAGATTTCGGCCTCATCGGCTTGGCCGTTATGGGTCAAAACATTATCCTTAACGCTGCTGATCACGGTTTCAACGTTATTGCTTTCAACCGTACCACATCAAAGGTTGATCGTTTCCTCGAGAATGAGGCTAAGGGTATGATGATTTCCTCACTACTCTTTTGGCAGATGATGAGAATCAAGAATCTAATCATGGTGAATCATCGCAGGCAAATCCATCGAGGGTGCACACTCCATTGAAGAGTTCTGCGCCAAGTTGAAGAAGCCCCGTCGTATTATGCTTTTGGTCATGGCTGGTAAGCCAGTTGACGACTTCATCGAGACCATCCTCCCACACATCGAGGAGGGTGATATCATCATTGATGGTGGTAACTCACATTTCCCCGATACCAACCGTAGAACAAAATACTTGGCTGAGAAGGGTATCCGTTTCGTTGGTAGCGGTGTTTCCGGTGGTGAAGAGGGTGCCAGATATGGTCCATCCTTGATGCCAGGTGGAAACGAGGAGGCTTGGCCATACATCAAGGATGTTTTCCAAAGCATCGCTGCCAAATCTGATGGTGAGGCATGCTGTGAATGGGTTGGTGATGAGGGTGCTGGTCACTACGTCAAGATGGTTCACAACGGTATTGAGTATGGTGACATGCAACTCATTTGCGAAGTATGTAAACCTCTAGTCATCTTTTCCAAAGGTCTCAACTAACTTTTACAGGCTTATGATATCATGAAGCGTGGTCTCGGTATGCAAGACAAGGAAATTGGTGATGTTTTCGCCGAATGGAACAAGGGTGTCCTAGATTCATTCTTGATCGAAATTACCCGTGATATTATGTACTTCAACGATGATGACGGAACCCCACTTCTCGAGAAGATTATGGATTCCGCTGGACAAAAGGGTACCGGAAAGTGGACTGCCATTAACGCTCTTGACCTCGGAATGCCAGTTACTTTGATTGCCGAATCCGTCCTTTCCCGTTGTCTCTCATCCCTCAAGGAGGAGCGTACTCGTGCCTCCAAGGTCCTCTCTTACGTTGGACGATCAAACAAATTCGAGGGTGACAAGAAGCAATTCCTCGAGGATTTGGAGCAAGCTTTGTATGCTTCAAAGATTATTTCATACGCTCAAGGTTTCATGCTTATGCAAGAGGTACGATCAGATCCCAACCTTTTAAAATATTTTGATACTAATTATGTTTTAGGCTGCCAAGGAATTCAAATGGAAGCTTAACAAGCCATCCATTGCTTTGATGTGGAGAGGTGGATGCATTATCAGATCTGTTTTCCTTAAGGATATCACAGCTGCTTACCGTGCTGATGATAACTTGGAGAACTTGTTGTTCAGTGATTTCTTCAACAAGGCTATCCACAAGGCTCAACCAGGATGGAGAGATGTTGTTTCCAAGTCTGCTCTTATGGGTATCCCAACTCCAGCTTTCTCCACTGCGTTGTCTTGGTTCGATGGTTACCGTACCAAGGATCTCCCAGCCAATCTTCTCCAAGCTCAAAGAGATTACTTCGGTGCCCACACCTTCAAGATCAAGCCAGAGCACGCCTCTGAGAAATACCCAGTCGGAAAAGATATCCACGTCAACTGGACTGGACGTGGAGGAAATGTTTCCGCTTCTACTTACCAAGCATAAATTGGACATATTTTTTATTGGTGGGACAGAAAGCACAATGGCGATTCTTGCCTAAAATTGGCGATAGGGGGAAATGTATTTAGACTACGCATGCAATGAATGAAATGAAATGGTACATGAATTAATTTATTTGATGGTTTACATTGCTTTATTGTTGAAGTTCATCATTTAGGCTGTGAATCTGATACTTTGATGTTTTCATCATGATGCCTGGGGGTAATTATTTAATGAATGTATGTGTCTCCGCAGGGGGAGGGATGGGGAGATTGGGTGAGTGGAGGGAAGAGGAAAATGATAGTGGAAGTAAGAGCAAGAGTATAAGTATGAGTGACAGTATAGCATAGCAGATTGTGAGGCCAAGCTAAATAATTGACCTAGGTTTCAGGATGACATTTATCTCACCCCCTTTTTCTCACCTCCACCCTTCGCACAACCAAAATCACCTCACTCAATCACCCCCAACGAATCATGACCTCATCTTTTACTCCTTCGCCCCAAGAGGCCCTCCCCCCCTTCTTAATCCTTCTCAATCCCTCCTCGTCACTTCTCGCACCTTGCACTTCTGGCTCCGCCCCCAACCAAACTCTAATGTATTTATACGTTAGTTCTCATGGAATGGGTGGTGGTGGAAAAACACCCACAGTAGGATGAGTGTCGTGGCATTGCACTTCCTGGATTGCTAGATTGAACAATGCTACCAGGAACATGCTGTTGTTCATTGATATTTCTTTTGGATGATATTAGGGGAAGATGAAGTTGATGGGGAGTCTACGCTGTGGATGAACTTGAAGTTTCGTATGGTACATAGAAAGGACTACTTTGTAGCTCATTAGAATACAAAAATTGAGAAACTTGTTATCCTTCCTATACCTCAAAAGTGTGTTGTGCATCTGTCTTGAAGTTAAATCTCGGTGTCATTCGCGCGTTTTGCACTTGCTCTTATCATCTATCTAGTCATACAAACCTCCCAGGCCCAACGATGAGACTTGCTTGATGGCGTTTGAGTAAATGGTATGTGTAGATAAGTCTTCCTCTCACTTGGACTCACGCTATTGCGCATGTCTTGATGCGAAGGATTGAGGTAATGAATATTCTACTGAGATTTCAGGACTTTGTTTTGGATGCTCACGTCATCCTTGATGAACAACTTGGAGATTAGTCTTTTTTCAGGGCGGATTCGATAAGATAATAAGGGACTTTGTCAACACGGATTTGCAGCTTGGGAAAATCGGAATTCATGATGCGTGGTTGAGCGGATGTATGTCGATTTGTCTCGGTGGAATTGAGAAGGAGAAATTAAGTGTGTTTTAGGGCTGAAGTACAGGACATGTTGTACTCATGAGTGTACAAAATTGTGAAATATTCGTTGCATATATGAGGCGTTTTAGACAAACCTCGCTTCCCCCGTCTAATCTCAAGTTCGAGTGTCTTCCTGATCTGTAGATTGTACTCTGCCTACCACTATTACTGGGCTAAACGTACTTGATAGACAGTCGGCTGTGGAACACTAAAGATAGCATATGAAAAATGTAATCAGAAAAATAAATTGATTAGTTTGGGATTCATTACTTTACTGAAATCGGGACTTGCGCTTCTCAAGTGATGTCTAGTCGTCGCCCGGACAATTAGCTGTGTTGCACACTTGAGGTCCTTTTGATATATTGTACCCAAAGATATGTGGAGATGGTTTCAAAGTCTTGGAAGCCTCGGAACTCTTTTGTAGAATTAGGAATGTGGAAACTGATATAGCTTGACTTCATCTATTCTTTATGTGCTCTGTGATCTCACGTCAAAGTTAGAATTTGTGATTCTGGGACTTGTGGTGAAATGCGCGTGGAGGGGTGAGAGAACGCGACGAAAACTGTCGCCTGCTTGATCTATTTTCTTCATACGGGAAGTCTTGGAGATGATTTAGATGTACTTATCTGATAGAAATGAAAACAACGGGTTGAAAGCTTTGAGTGATCGTCTGAGGTGGTTCTGAGGCCTTTTCGAAACCAGCTTGAGAGTCACTGTTAACATTTCTAATCACTCGCAATCAGACTTGAAATTTGAATAGTAAATATCTGAAATCATTGAGAATGTTTCTTGACATGTCTCCTAGATGTCTTGTAAGATTTTGGCAAACATCGAGGCTTTTTGATGTTTATGTTTTAAGTCGGATTGGCTCGTCATCAGTTCCACTTCCTTCCTCACCTCACCTCACCTCACCTCACTTTGCTTCACCACACTTCACTTGAAACAGTTTTCAACAACATTGATTTCATTGATTGGTCAAACAGAATAGGGTTTAGCTTGGCCACAACAAACGAAATTTTGATAAAATCAAATATTAGTCGGCCTTACTTTCAAAAATTACAACAAATAATTTCTTCATACCATAACGCTCACAATGGAACCATACGAGGAATACCAAACCACCTGGTGAGCAATGCTGAAAATTCTCGAATCCGATCGCAGAATACCATTTGAGGAGGTGAGAATAAGCAGAGCCAAATGGGCAGCTACAGTCAAGCACAACCCGATCTACGCCAATTACCACATAGAAGTGAATCACTACTACGTGGAAAAATCGATGTGGCTCGACCTGTGTAAGTTGATCATTTTGAATGAAATATCAAATAAGGATACTAATAATTTTCTAGTCAAAGGCTATCCTTTTCCTGGAATCAAGCCTAAGCCCATTGCGCATGCTGTGACGACACCAGTCGCACGCACAGCAACAGGCAGGAGCTCTGAATCCATTGGCGGCGATAAAGCATCGAAAGCTGCATCTGCTGCGAAAGGAAGGTGCTTGAATAACACGCCCAAGGCCGATCCTAGGCTTGCAAGCAGAAGTAATACCTCCATCACTGGTCAACCTTCTGCGCAAGAAAAGGTGAATGCGCCTCAGGCTCAATCTCACGCCATCCCATCGCCTTCAGAAATCATGGGAAATAGGAAGGACGTCGAACCACAGCAGGACTGTAGTCAAGGAGCAGAAAATCTGTCACCGAGACCGCCAGCATCAGCGGGTTCACATCCTACTTCGGGAAATATCCCTTGTCCTGACGCTGCCGCTCATAGGCCTTCAATCGAGCCATCCGCAGGCAAGCGAAAGAGAACAATTTCCGATCTTGACGCATTACCACAAAGCGAGACGGCGGTAAAATAACAGACAGAACGTGTCAGGCTTGAACAGTCTCCACAATTAGACACGATGAAGCAGCTCTGGGACCGCACTCGCTATGGCGTATCCGTCCCGGCAAGCCCCACAGTTGCCGAAATGTTGATGTCACGTAAGGCGGCAGTAGAAAAGCATTTTGGAGTTCGATTTGAATACGGCCTCCATAAGGAAGAGCTTATATTTCACTGCGAACCTGCTGACATCGGAAGCATGACTTACAACGATGCCGTTAAGCTTTGTGAGCCTGCTTTCAAGTTTCTTAACGAGTTTTTGCGTAACTCTTACGGACAATCAGGGTGCATTGATGACTATCTCAGGTCAAGTAACTGGGTCACCAAAGAGAAGTAAGAAAGAGGAAATCGGTACTCTCGTGCTGATACCCAACTTCAGGATAGAAGTGAACGGAATAAAAAAGTTAACTGCTCGTTGTTCTGATCCTCATCCATCTCCCCCCTTTTACGATAATCACTTAAGATCGTCCGTTTTCCCTTTTCTTGCCTGTGTTTTTTAAATGCCTTTATTTATTGGTGCTCAATGGACTTTGATGTTCTTCAAACCTTTCATGGGATTTCACATGCCCTTTTTGGGGCTTAAAGGATCTACTTATTTCCTTCATATGAATCTTTTGGTTTATTAAACCTCTTTAGGGGTTCAGGGCTTAGTAGCCCTTTCTTGCTTGTTTTTCTTTTGATTTGTAATTATTTTGTAGCGTGGAATGAATATAAATCATACTCCGCCACTTTTGAAGTTCAGGAAATCACCATAAGTTAGTACGATGAGAACGCAATTTGATTCATGTGACATGTTATCCCAAAGCTGAGACTATTTTCATTGCATGGTAGCAAAGTGGTAGCAGATTGTGCCGACTTAAGAGTCAAGAGAAATTGAAAATTCTGTAGCTCTATCCTGGAATCCATAAAAGGACCAGAAGCGAGATCTTGCTCCACGGATTCTTCCACGATGTAGGGTGCAAGAGCAATTTTTCCAACGCCCAATAGCCGTCGTACTCGAATCTTGGTACGCTTGCGGAGGTATTGGAGTACAATGGCCTCGTTTTCCACCTTCTCGGTGAGATGGAGCGATCGACCTAATGCAGCGAAACGAACAATGGCTTGGAAGCCATCATCATATGTGACGCGATAAGTAACTCTGTATCCTCCGGTCTTCCATCGAACGGCAATGAGCCTATTACCAGGCCGATGCTTCCCCGAAATTTGACAGGCAATTTGTTCTGGCTCAGATTGTAATAATCTTTGGAACCATACCATAAAGTTTCTCTGTTGTTCCCTCTGAGCTACGGAATCGAAATGCATGACTTTCTCGAGCTATTATTACCCGAGGCAGTCATCAATTCGGACTTTGGGAGCGTAAAACCCGAAAAGAGCAGCAATTTTGAAAGGAATGAGTCGTGAAATCAATGGCGAGTCGAGTGCGGCAATTGCATGAAGATAACTAAGGAAGTGCTCCTCATGAAACCCGTGTCTCGATTTGGGAGCGCCCGCACAGAGGAACAGTATCACGTGACACCCAGCAAACGCTTTTCCAACCCTTCTACTTTCTCTTTCTCGCAAATCAACGAATCCATCATCTCATATTTTTGGGACTCTTCCGATCTTGGGAAGCATGGACTGATGATGGGGATACATTCATGTTTTCAATCTTTCAAGCGTCGCAGAAACGATTCTGGGCAGCGTTATTTATAAGACGTTCCCTTTAATGATATCAAGTGAACATGCAGTGAAGTGAATGGCGAGGGAGATTGGTAGTTCCACAATACCTACCCTCGACCACCAAGCTCACATGATTCGTCAATATTATACAATGTTACTCTTCCAAATCTCATCAAGAAACAGTCACAGTATTGATAGCACTTCTCATCCCTGCTCTTGAACAAGGGTTGCAGCGCGTCTGTGCAAATCACAACCTCGTAATCATCAAACTCGTGCTCCAGATGAGGAAGGTCGCGCGTCGCACCAGCATCGTGGGTTTCACTTGATCAGATGGGTAAAATGTTTTATTCACCTCAAATCAATTGACTTTCTGTCCTTCCATCCAATTTTCTAGAATTCTTTGTGATTTTATGAGACGAAGAGATTCAACCTTAATAACTCATCTAGCCGTTGTTTTTGCATTGGATTGGACAATTTGATACCGGATATTTTCGGAACCTCGGTATCACGTTCATTTACGCACAGCGTGATTGTTTGTCAACAACTATCTTCAGCAACTAGAATTTGAGATGGCAACATCTCCTACATCCTCTAATTCAATCCCTCCACCAGGACACACTGCTTCAAGTGGCAGTGCTGGTCAATTCGATATTGACAATACACTATTCGTTAGCAAAGATGTCTCTTTATCCTTGAGTCCTGAATCTTTGATTATCAAAGGTATGTAGGTCTATTCGTGTAGTATCCTCAATATACTCAAGAGTACACAGGCGCCGAAACGGCAAAAAAGCCAGAGAAAGGAGCAAAATCAGCCGGTGCCCGTCGTTCCGTAACACTGGATGCATCTGCCTACTCAGAACCTGTTGGGGCATCTACTTTGAGGGCAATACCTTTACGTCAGATTCTTTGGGCTGAAATAACTGAGACTGAACTCATCATAAATCACGCAAAGGAGATTTCAAAGACAGTTCTTCAACCAGCGGTACTGAAGTATGCTATTGAAGAAGAGCGAGACCGAGTGGAAGCATGGGTTTCTAGGCTCAAAGATCGCGCATATGGCAAATCCCAGCAGCAGAAACGAGTTAAAGTGATAATTAACCCAAAGAGTGGAAAGGGACAATCCGAGAAAATCTATGCAAAAGACGTTGCGCCTATCTTTGATGCTGCTCATCTATCTATCGATGTGACGGTAACTAAAGCCTCAAGGGAGGCCACTGATATCGTGGAAAAACTCGACATAGAAGCTTATGATGTGATAATCTGTTGTTCTGGAGATGGTCTTCCATTCGAGGTTTTCAATGGTCTTGGCAAACGTAAAGATGCGAAGAGAGCTCTTTCGAAAATGGCCATCGCGCACATACCTTGCGGATCTGGAAACGGGTTACATTGTAGTCTTCATGGCAATATAAGATCTACCAGTATCGCAGCTCTTTCAATAGTCAAAGGTATTCGTACTCCTTTAGACCTAATTTCGGTCACACAGGGTGAAGAAAGACATCTATCATTTCTCTCGCAAGCACTTGGTATCGTGGCTGAGTTTGACCTGGGAACAGAGCATTTGCGGTGGATGGGAGGAACACGATTTGTCTATGGCTTTGTCATGAAGTCTCTCCAAAAGAAAATCTTCCCGTGTGACATCGCGGTCAAGGTGGTTACGGACGATAAAGAGGATATCAAGCGACGTTATCGTGACGCTATGGATATTGGAACCACTTCTGAAGAATTATTACGAGAAAATGGTTCCTTGGAAGGCGGTTTACCCGAGTTGAAATATGGAAATTCTAGCGACCCATTACCTCAAGGGTGGGAAGTCGAGCAACATGATAATTTGGGAAGTTTCTACTGTGGCAATGTGAGTATTTTCCCTGATAAAAGCACCGTAACTATGGAATCGAGCTAATCAGTGCTCTCTAGATGTCTTGGATGGGAGCAGATGTAGATTACTTTCCAGCTGCACTTCCAAATGATGGTTGTATGGATATGGTAACCATTGATTATTCGAATCTTAGTCGACTTCAAGCACTTCAACTTATGCCGGCTGTCGAGAATGGGAAATTCTTCAGCCTACCATATGTCAATTACCGCAAAGTCGAAGCATACCGCATCACTCCAAAGAACCAGTCAGATGGTTACATATCAATAGATGGAGAGCGAGTACCATTTGGACCATTTCAGGCCGAAGTACATCGAGGATTAGGAACGGTCCTTTCAGTATCAGGATATAGATATGAAACTCCTGGACCTAAATAATGAAGTGAAATACTTGGGAATATTTGAAGGAGGAAGTTGTAATATGACGCTCGGATACTATTTCGACACTATCGCTAGTCCATGCTTTTGTCATGTGCGTTTTGTTTACTCTATTTATGGAAGAAGGGTGAGGTCTAATAGATATCAAGTAGTGGATGTTGGCCTTTCGATGTTTTCTTTTGAGTGGATCAAACAGTTAGGTCAGGATTAGAACCCATATAGTTGCGTAGGTTTGCATAAAGCTATACCAATCATACCCCGCCAGTTCCCCACAAACCCTAATTTTCCACCACTGTTGAATCTTCATCCATTGTAACACGAGGAAGATCAGCCGGCGCTACCCCACATTAATTAGCTGCCGAACTTCTATATTATGGTCTCCCCGAATCCCCCGAGGTAAACATTCGTTTTCAATGTTGCATTAGATCCATCGTATTTGCTTTAAACTGCATGCATACATTACCAATTCATGACGTCGATCTTCTGGACCTGACTGAGTATGTTGATCTTGTGATGAGCATAATTTTGATATGTGCCGAAGGGGGCCGACGGATATAGTGTGAACTTTTTGACCAGGTGGAGTCGAATGAAGTAAAGCATGCGCTCCAATCATTATAGGTCAGCAGCAAAACTGAAAGGTAACCTTCATGGCTCATTGCGCGGGAAGTCCTGTTCTTGGAAAGAGAAGATAAACTTGTTTACATGTATGGCTCAATTGATACGGACTCCACCTTGTTGCATTCGAAGTACTCGAGCCAAAATTTCTATAACATGATGTCCTGCCCCGACAAGATGAGGTATTTTCTATGCAGTCACAGAATACGACTCTTCTCTCCTGCCCATCATGTACTTCTCAAAAATCCTCCTTCTGATTTCCCCTCTCCTTTTATCCATTACCGCATCTCCAATCGAAGAACGAGCATCCTGGCCTTACGCCCCCTTTACCACATCAGGTCGATGGATTCTTGATTCAGCTGGCCATAATGTGTCTTACGCTGGTGCCAATTGGCCTGGTGCTGCAGACACCATGATACCTGAAGGTCTCCAATATCAATCAATTGCCAGTATCGTGACGAAGATCAAAAGTCTAGGCATGAATGTCATTCGTCTTACATATGCTATCGAGATGATTGATGATTTTTATGCCAATGGTCAGGTGGATACATCGATTTTGACAAGTTTTACCAAGGCATTGGGAACAACTAATGGTACAGCTGTTTTCAATCAGGTTGTTAAGAATAATCCTACCTTTACGAGCAAGACAACAAGGATGCAGGTATGAAAATTACGAATACTGTAATTTGGGAGATGATGCTGACCCGATTGTCATAGGTCTTTGATGCTATTGCTGCGGAGTGCTTCAAGCAGCAGATTTATGTGCATCTTGATAATCATGTCTCGAAGGCTATTTGGTGCTGCTCTAACACTGATGGAAACTCTTGGTTTGGAGATACTTATTTCAATGTTGCGAATTGGCAACGAGGTATTGCATACATGGCTACTCGGGTAAATCAAGTTTCTACCAAGCTCCATCCATTAAAACATCTGACACAAACTAGGGTGCATCCTGGGGTAACTTAATGTCCATGGCACTCCGCAACGAACTCCGTGAACCAACATCCAACGCTTCCCTCGATTCATCTTCCTACAACTGGGCAAATTGGTACACCAACGTTGTAGCCGGCATGAACAGTATCCACACCGCTAACCCTAACGTTTTGATCTTCATCTCTGGTCTCAACTTCGATACCGATCTATCAACCATCCCAAATGCTGCTCTCCTCACACCCTCCACCACACAAAAGTTCCTCAAATCATCTTTCTCATATGCTAATAAGTTGGTTTTGGAACTTCACAATTACGCAAGCAGTACTACCAGCTGCTCGAGTTTGCAAAGCAGTCTAAATTCTGAAGGATATAATGCTTTAAATGCTGGAGTCACTAATCAAATGCCGGTGGTGATGACGGAGTGGGGTCATGCACAGACAGCGGCGGATTATGCAACGGTTTATTCGACCTGTTTGAAGACATATCTAACTTCCATCAAGGGAGGTTGGATGGTTTGGGTCTTGAGCGGAAGCTATTACATTAGGTCTGGCACTCAAGATTTCGAAGAGACATGGGGTAAGTCGTTCTGTGTTTTCCTTTATTTCTCAGTTATAGATGCACATAGGGAGGGAGATCAAGCATTCCGAATCCTAAGACTAACGAATTTCTATAGGCTTACTTACCCATGACTGGTCAGCATGGAGAGATCCAACAGATGTGGCGAATGTCATTGTACCGATGGTTAGTGGGACGAAGATTTATTCGCCATAATTGAATCATAATATAATTTACGGATTGAAATGAGCAACATGTATTTATGATATAAAAATAACAATAGTGCTATTTGAATGCCCTTTTGGCCCCAGATTACTGGTACCTGATCAGTTGAATACATCTCCGTGCTTGAGAAAATCGTTTACATCACGTGTGGACACAACCTCCTGTCATGAAGCACAAAAACTTGGGAGATTTAGAACTTTGGATGGTCCGTGGAAGATCTAGAAGCGCAAAGTATGCTGTCGAATATGCTATGTATCGCCCACGATTACCAAGTAGAGTCGAATCCGCGGAATTTATACATGAGACTGATGTTTGAGATCTCATCATTGTCTATTTCCTAATGTCACTTTCTATTTATCAAAACGAGGTTACTACTACATGGTATATCATCTTTGATGCAATGGTTGAAATTGAAAAAAGCATTCAACTAATGTGATATGATAAAACAATATCTGGCGCTAATCTCACAACTCTATTCAGTACATTCAAACACTTTGGTATATTCAACTCGTTTGGGACAATCAAATTGTCTGAGACATTCAAATCCTATTGAATATTCAAGTGTTCAAAACTTCCGTATTTAAGTAGGATGTCACTTCAAATACTTGTGCACGTAGACACGATGACCCGATCACAAATGCCTAGTCCTCTTAAATTGCACAGAACCGGGACTAATAGTTTTGCCAAAGCATCTTGAATGCTCCCGTAGATTTCGGCTCTCATCACCTGAAGTGTGTTTTCTTTTTCGCTGTATAGTTTCTTCGCGATTCTTTCGCGGGGGAGAGAAGAGCGAGTTCGTGGTTTGGTGACAATTGGGGTTTGCTAGGCTTTCAAATTCACCACCAGGAGTTTGCCTTTCATTCAAGGTCGCAGTTGCTCCTTGAGAATTATTGAAATGGGTGAGAGGTGTGCTCACAATGTCATGATGATATGAATTCTTCGGGAATTCCTTGTCACCAGTCGTATAGCTTCTCCCTTCTACCACTGGCCCGCTAGATGTTCCATTTACTAGAGAACTATTTGTGCCAATAGTGCTAGACCGGATTGGCTTTGAGTGTGATGGAACTTCCTTGTCAGAAGCAGGCGGGTACACTCTCACCATCGCCGCTGGTCTCTTAGGAACATTGATAGTTTGAGAAAGGGATGAGCGGATGAAATTATGATAACTTGATTCTAAGAAAGTCTCACTCTCGCTAGACAAATGGCCACCTCTCATTGCTGCTGGCTCTGTCGGGATATTATGAACCCGTGATGAATGGATGGAACTACGATGGATTGACCCTAAGATAGTCGGCTCCTCGATAGTTGAATGATCACTCCGCATTGCCTTAGGCGCGATCGGAACCTTTAAACCCGGAGGGGTAAAATTCTGGTTATGCAGTTCTGACAAGTAATCTGTTTGGCTAGTTTTATCCATTGTTCCATATGAAGTGGGAGATTTGTTGGTTCGATTATCAGCCTCTATCAACAGATCGATGGTATGATCTGCAGCTTTCATAGCATCACACTTGTTCTTCGCATCTATGAGGATCTTGTATTGTTCTTCTCCAAAGAAGACATGCTGCAAAGTGTAAAAGTTGACCGGTAAATCATTTTCCAGTACTGATGTAGAGCCCAAAGCCCGATTTCTTTCCTTCAGCAATTTCTGTCTGGTACCTTTCTCATTTGGCGAAAAATCGGGCAAATTTTCCAAGACTTGGTTGAAATCTGTTGTTGTGACCACACTGCTTACAACAAAATGACCGATGTAATAATATTCGTCTGTATCTTGTGAAAGTCGCAAAAAAGTAGGATAAATGGTTCCTTGCGTCACTCGAGGTGATTCCGCCGTAGCTTGGGAGACAAAATGGACAATCTGACCGTAAGTTTGCATAGGGTTTGATAAAGGGAAGATATATGGTTGAGTGTCCAAATTTATGTTGAAAAATTTCGTCCATTGAACGGGGTTTGGAATATGGGATGGCGGAACTATATTGAGAGTGCGATTGATAGACCCAAAGATTCTATTGAGAAAAGACTCGTGGAATGCATTGGTAGCAGGCGGTATCTGTACCGAAGCATTAGTAATGACAGTCCGACGGCGAGAATTCTGGAGTCTAAAAGTTGCAATGGTAGGAAGAAGATCTTCGGGTGAAGCCGTAGCCCTATCCGCTGGGGAAGCCAGATTGGATGGTGGGGGTGAATGGAGAGCGCCTGTTTTGGATAGATGGTCGCGACTTTCGTTTGCACGTACTGGAGGCATCTAAGGATTTCAATTAGTATAGGCTAGTATGGTGAAATACTAAAATCTCACCCTTCGTACGAAATTTGGCGAGCCCCGCTTTTCCCCAATTCCGGAGTTTGTATAACTAAAGGAGTTGATAGTTCGCTGCGAACGTCAATTGTAAGATTTGAGAGAATCCCTTGCCTTTGAAACATTTTCTCCATAGCACAAACCCCAATTACTCTGCCCCTCTCTTTTGCTGAATTCCAAAGCCTCAATACGTTTTCCTCCGCAATTTTCTCTCCCTCTAATCTTGCAGCTGCGATCTCCTTCTCATCCTTCTTCCGCGTATTTGAGATCTCTTGCTGCAGCATTGCCTGATCGTATTCTAGCTGCAAAACTTGTACATTCAATCTATCGTTCTCATTCTCGAGTGTTTTGGCACGTTCCATTTGAATTTTTAGTTGGATTGCGAAAGTTGAGCCTACGTTGAGTGTGGCTCGGGCACAGTTGTCTTTGCAGTTATGCGTTGTATTCTGATCCTCTAAGTGTCTCTATGCTTGGTTACATAGCAGTATGAGATCCGAGGTGCCGTGATCCTCACGAGACTTGCCTGCTATGATGCTTGGGGGCGCTTCTTTACATTGAGCCTTTTCGCTTGCTGGTATCTGCATTGCATTCTCTTGGAAGGGCACGATTGCTGAAAGTGACATTTGACCAATCGATACCTGCGCTTTTGGCCTGCAAACCCTCGTTGAGAGTCTGTTCTGGCTAGCTTCATATTCACGAATTGGAACAACTGTCAGGGCCCCAGTGTCTAAAGCATTGTTCAACTCGAAGTAATTTACCGAAAGCCAAAGGGAGAAGGACCTCTGCCAAAACCCGGGAAACGTCTCGCTGAACTGCCATCGATAGAAATTGAACCGTTTATCATTTGAGACCGGACTAAACCAATGCGGTCGAGCTTTAAGAGAACGCCCGAGTGAAGACTCTAGAAACCTCAGTCAATTAGCTGATCTCTAAAAGAATCTGGTACGCTCACCTATGAAATCAAGAAATCGAAATTTCTTATACTTGTGAATATCGTGTCTGTCCCATGTATGAGATTGTGATGATGCCGTTATACTAATGAAGCCTCCATCAAATGCCTTGCCGCACTTTCGAATATCTTCCAACGACCATTTGATGGTCATTTTTTGCGGCAGTAGATGGAATTCGTTTACTTCGTCCGGTTCACTAGAAAATCCATCATATTCAGGACTAGTAAATCTCCACTTAAAACTAAGACTTGACTCTCGAGGTGTTGGAATAAGTTCAAATAAGGCTCTCCTTGCAGCTGCTATATTCCAAGTTAGTATGGCGCGCGATTACATATGAATTTTACAAGTGGATTTACTTACAGATGAGCTTCAAGAGTTTGCGCTGAAGAGTTCTCGCGCGCTTGAGCCGCTCTGGAGAAGGCCCTGTGACGATCAATTGAACCATTCGGCAAGTTGATACGATGTCTGTTCAGTCTAAGTGCCAAGGTAGTATAATAATAAGTTCGGTGTCATAAATTAGACCCAATGTTTTAAAGTCGGTAATAAAATGATTCCTGTCTACTTATCCATGCAATGAGACCTTCAGAATTGATATGCTCGATTCATTGCGTTTTCACGCGGATGAAGTGATTAAATTTATCGCAGGAATAGATCGGTCATTAGAATTGTATATTCTTCTCCTTGTTACCAATATCCGTCGAGTAAATACATTCACGGGGATTGAGAAGTAGAAACGAAATGAAAACTTCTATGACCCCAGTTCGGTTGTAGCTACCGGAATTACGACAGATAAATCAACTGCAGGCTTTGGCTGGCTGCAGGGAGTGAACACTAGAGGGTCAAACCTGCCAATAGATATATTGGACTTGTCATTGGAAATCTGCTGTGATTGGCTGTTGATGAATCAAGAATTGTGATTGATCAACAAGATGCATAATGCCGGCAGCCCGTTATACGCCACAATATTATAACAAACGCGGCATGCAACGTTTACCTGAGTTGTGCTTGATTGTGATGTCTGAAATCCATGCTGAACTAGACGTAAAGCTCATTTCCGAACTAGCTACCAAAAACTTATCAATGTCTCCCTAGATAAATCGAAATGCATTTCAACAGGAACATTGGGTCTTCAGATCAAAGAAAGTCTCAGTGCCTATGTTCAAGGCCCGCCAGACCCATTCACCGATCAGTACCTCCCGCCATCGCCGTTAACACGCGAAATGCATGAGCTTGTCTCAGCTGACCCTGGGTTCTGTGAACAGATTATGGCCTAGACATAGCCATTTTATTACACTAAAGGCTCGTTTCATACTATCTGCAGTATAGTCAACCGCGAACTTCTGGTAAGAGACAGGAGACAATTGCTATGCAGCTAATATATGATGTGGGCAGTAGTAGGTTCTTAGCCTCCGGGACTAGGGAACAATTAGCACTAAATCAACATCAACAGGGTCAAACATTCCCCATCGCTAACATCACATCTTATACCTTAATATTGATTCGGAAGATGGTTGAGAGCACAAGGGTCAATACTCAAGCGTGATGGATGGTTACGCTCAGGTCAATGATGGAGAAACAGAAGGATTCTCCCAAAATATATTTCAATTACCATGCTCCTCAGTCATCCACGGGGCATTCTGACCAACAACTGCCTTCTGAAACCCGGGAACATAAAAGTTCGAATTAGACAGTTGAGGGCTTCATTTAGGAATTGAAAGCTGTAAAATTGATTCAAAGATTTTATTCAGAGTAATTTAACTTATGTAGTTGATCAACATCTAGGTATATAACTCGAAAGTCCCTGAAAGTTTGTTACATGTGAAGGAGAAGAGGTGCAATTAGCAACCCCGGCAGTCAGTCTCGATTCTTATCATTAAGGTTAGCGATCAAATTAAGGTTAGCGGTCGATGCATATCCTCAGGCACACATCGCTAGTCGGAAATTTTTCACCGAACTCTAACTTCACTTCACTTCATTCATCAGTCAAACCTACATGTTACACTTCACCATCTATCACTTATAAAACAACATATCCAGCATATCGAATGTGTGGAATTGTGTTTATCGACATGCTTGATTCTAAATCCACCTAGGAACCACAATATTCACGAAATCTATCCACAAAAAGTGTATAGGTACACGAAGCTACTTCCAATCAAACTTTCTCGACAAGAACCACCAACCATAACAGGAGCCCCCTCATCCTCTTCATCAAAGGTTCCTGGGACCTTTTCGATGATGCGTCCTGGGGCTTACTTCCTTTGGCTTTGACTTCTCACGTCCACCAGATATCTGCCAACATTTTGTTGCACCACAATGGCTTTTCCGTATCCCATGTCATCGACCTATCTCATCATCCATTGATTTGTCGGATGTTGAATTTCTAGAGGCAGAACCATGGGAGTTCCATTTTCGATTGTCTCATTTTGGTTTAACATTTTGAAACCTATTTCAAAAATGTGATCAGTGATAAGTAGTAAGTTTTGAAGGCATAAGTGGCATACCAGTAAAGCAATACAAATTTGCCTTTCCTGATTCTAAAATATCATTCCGGTGCGCATCGCAGAGAGAGCTTCTTGTACTCCCTATTGCCATCTTCTTTTACTCCTCCTATTTTGATATTAGCAAGGAATCTCCTAGCAGAGATTCGGAGGTCTGATTTTTCTGCCCAAAAATGAATGATGCCCCATTCAGTTCATTTCATTCAATGTATACTTCTGAGAATTTATCAATTAGTTAGTTAGTTAGTTCATTCGATATCAAATGCTCCCCCCTCCCCCCCCCTCGAACAGAATCACTTATGCATGGAACAGATTTGTGCTGCAAAATGATACATTTGTCTAAAAATACATGTTGTACAATTGGCTCTACTAAGAATACCAAGCCCTACTAAAGGCGGAAGAGAATGATAAGACTCTTTGAGCCCTCAAAAAGGCATTTTAATACCCGAGAAAGGGTTTGAAGCTCTTAAAAGGCATAATGAACCCCACGAAAGGTCATATGAACACAAAGGTTCAGAAAATAAATAAAAGCGGAGCAACACAGTAAAGAAGAAGAAAAAGAGAGAGACAAGGAGAAAAGATCAGCGAGGCTTTCCGCTAGGAGGAGGCGACTGAAAGCCACTATTGGCCTTTAGTTACTTCTCCTCACATTCTTCTTGCGCTCAAGCTGACCTCTCTGACTGCTTCGGCTTCGGTGTCTTGGTTGACGTTGGCTTGTTCGGCGGCGGTGGCAGCATCGGCATCGGCGGCATCAGCGTCTTCTTTGGCTTTGGCTGCATAGCGCCTGGCTTTCGCTCTCGCCCGAGTTTTACGATTGAGAATCGTTTTCCTAGCCGCTTTTGCTGCCGATGCTGCATCTCCCATAGCATCATCAAAGTTAGAGAGCACATCTTCAACTTTCAACAAAGGTTTCACGTCATTGTCAGAGGAATCGCCGTCGTCATCAGCCTTCACCCAACTGGAATTGAGTTTAGGATAAGACATGCGATCTGCCAATTTGACACCGGATGTGGGGAGAGGCGATCTTTCGCGGTAAGTTTCAGTCTCAGTCTGAGCTTTAGGGCTTTGACTTCGATCTCTGACTATGGCGTTGGATGCAGCCTTGCTGGCGTTTTTCTTTCTACCACGACCATTCTTACCACCAGCGGGAGCAATATTGAACAAATTCTGGGCGAATTTGGTAAGGCCCTCAACTCCTGTAACTGTAAATGTATCAGGTGATGAGGCGGGTGCTGATCTTGGCGGCGGCGGCGGCGGTGGTGGTGGTGGTGGTGGTGGATATGATGGAAATTGCGGCATCATCGGAGGAGGAAAATATTGTGCCGATGGCGGAGGAAGTTGTGATTGTGGTCGACGACCGAAACCGCTTGCATTGCGGGTCAATCCTCTCTCGGATCCATCTTTAAGATTAATCACGAGAGAAGGATTTCCCCAGGCTGGGTCTTCTGCAATTGGTGGATCTTCCTGCCATGTTCCTGCGTAGACATAGTCTCTCCAATAATGTGGATTTCTCAATTGGTACTGCAGTGCGAAAGATGGTGTCCAGATTTTTGGTCTGGTGTCGGCGGATATGGCCTTCCAACCTGGATGTTCAGTTAATTCAGATGGCCATGATATCATAGCTTTCTGATTTCGACCGAGCATCAGTAAGTGGCGTTGATTACCCTCGGATTTCCAGTTCTGGACACATTCAAAAAGAACGTGGTCCGTTGTGTTGCACATTGGACATCCATCGATAACACCAAAACCACTAACTGGACCAACACATCTCTTCAGCTCATGACCTATGCGAGAGCAATTGCCGCACTGAAGTAAAACTTTCCGTGCTGCAGCTCTTTGCTGGTCGCGATTTAGCGGTTGGGGGCCTTGTGGCTGCCATACTCCGTTAGGATCTGGTGTGCCGTAAGGTTGTTGATAGCCTTGTGACTGCCATCCTCCGTTAGGATTTGGAGTCGTCCAAGGTTGTGGTTGCGGGTAATAGTATTGACCGGATGAGTAGTCATATACTGGTGCGTTTGGGTTTGCGTAGGGATTTGGATTCGGAGGTCCATACCCAGGTGGGTAGTAGCCTCTCGAGTTTGGATTCATCGTTGAGGTTGATGAATTTTTTATGTGGTTGAGGAAAGAATTATTCAAAGTTGAAATCAATATATTAATATTGTGCGGCCCTATTTCAATTTTTGCCTGATTTCTGCCTGAGTTCACGTTTGATATTGCTCGGGTAACCATGTTGTTACCCTTATTTTTATTCATATGTTCCTTGCCCTATCTATAGTTATTCCCGTGGCTCTGCTCTTTAGAACCCGAAGATCATTCAGGTGCAATAGATTATGGCCTCCTCACTCCACAGCCTGTATACATGCGAAGGGTATGGAGGTATCTGGTCGAGCTGGTAGACTCAAACATGAAGATTATTCAATGTCACGCACACCGAGACGTAGAAAATTGCCAAAGGTTACACGCATTTTCTGTGAACATGGAGATATCGGAATGTGAAGAGATTTGCAAGTGCGGGGCAACAAATAAGTTGGATGGATATCTCTGAATAGTTCATTATACTCTGATTGCACATGCTGATATTCTCCTTTTGAGTTTTGTTACAAAGTACCACTACATAATGAGCATCCAATTGTATAATGATCACTAGATAGTTGTAGAATCGACATTTTGAAATCAATATTTAAGGCTTTACTATCAATCAAACTATCTTGCGAAACCTCAAATCTTGAAATTGGTCTCCCTTTTAATTCTGTCTCTTTACTATACTAGTAAGTGAGTGTTTAGTAAGTATTGCCTACCGAGTAGATACCCTACCTAGGGAGGTAGGTAGCTAGGTATGTGAAGAATACCGGCACCATTCCATTTTAGGTTACTCTCGCAACAACATTTTTCCAGATGCCTCACTCACACAATCAACCCAAATTATTCTTTCCATGACAATGATTTAGATCTCATCCCATGTCAATGATAGTTCACTCTCCAATCATCGTCAATCATGGTCAAAGCCCCGCCGATACCTCCAAGGGAGGAACTTCCCAACGACACTCCGATTTCCGTCGTAGAATTTGTTCTTCTGACCACAAGAGTCACAGAACACATTCGAGCGTTTCTCAATCAAGCCGAGCAGCAATCTTTCAATGAGATGGCCGCAGAATTATACAGGTTGTTGCAACTTGCCCACACGAAAGTCAGGTCGCTCAAAGCTTTCTCGGATAAGCTTCGTTTGGATAAAACAACCCTCGAAGCCAGAACTGCAAGCTTCGACGCTAGATTCAATGCATTTCAAACTTCTCATGACAAAATATTGCAAGAGTTGAAGCAATTTCAAGAAACTCTTATCGCAGCATCGAATGAGAAGGTAGAATCTGCTCAGAATAGCTTCGCTACTGCCAAGACAGCTCTCACCGAGAGTACTAAAGGCATTACAAGCAAAGTAAGTTTCATCTATTTCTTACGTTCCCGTCTTCATTTTACAACAATCACAAAATTTACCATTATTTACGTGGTCTTCCTACTAACATTTATGTAGCTGATTAGTATCGCTGAATTCATGAGCAAAGCATCTGAAAAGCAAAAATTGGCTGAGAGCAGTTGTAACCAATTGGTGGAATATGTCAATGCCCTTGAGCAGAATAAAATTCTCCTTGAGAATCAATCTGCGCTGGAGCGTTGTATCAGTAATCTCAAAATCTCACATGTTGATGAGATAGCTGCATATTCTACTGAAGGTAACATACTGGACTCGGAAAATCAACGCTTGAGGGAACAATGTTTTCGCTACACTGCTGAGATAGAGACACTTCAGTCGAAATCCGCAGGTGATGATGAAGAGCTTCGAAATCTTCGGGAAGAAGCCCTGGCTTATCGTCGTCTACAAGAAGAGTTCTTTAAGTTCAAAGAGGAATCCTCCAAAAAGGATGCTACCATGAACTCTTTGAAAGCCTCCGTAGACAACTACGATGCCGAGGTCCCTGAATTAAAGCGAACACTTCAGACAAATGTCGAAACAATCGACCGCCTCAAGCAGGATCTAGGCAACACAAAGTCTGAGTTAAAGTCGAGTACCGAGAAAGTTGGCATGCTTGAAGCCGAGATTTCCACTGCGAACATCGAATTAAAGAAACTTCGACCTGTGAACATGGATCTCAGCGCTTTGAGGACAAGTCATGCCGAACTTCAAAAAACGCGTGGTCGAGAGTTGGAAGAATGTACAGAACATACCAGTGAGATCGCTTCTCTCACCGAAATCAATTCTGCTCTCAAGACCGAGCTTTTCGAGGTCAATTCCAAGTTACAGCAAGCTCTTCGTGTCGATCCTTTTAACTCAAAGAAGCGGAAGATGTCTGAAGCTAATGAAAGTCAAATTGTTGACGACTCTCTTACCGTTTACTCCAAGTCTACATCTCACCATCCAAATCCTTCTCGTAGTAGCAATTCCAAACCAGAAGACCCTTGGAAGACGTTGTTGACATCACAACTTGTCGCCATGCGGAACTTACAGCCTCTACCTCATACTTCGGATCATGACATGAATTTTGTCAGAGGTCTGATATCCAGATGTTTGGTTCATCCCAAATCATTGGAAAATCATGACCTCTGGAAGAAGGTTGCCAATGAGAAGAAAGATTTGAGTTGGAAATGTCTATTTGAAATCTGTAACTCTAATCAATTTGATTACGAGAAGCTCTCAATTTTGAATGACGAATCAACCAAGTGTACAACATGCAAAAACCAATCGTTGGATTATTGTGTACAAGTTGTACAAAACAAAGGTCGATTTGTTCGATTGTTGAAGCAGCACTGATTTCAAACTTGTACTCTTCCCTCTTCGCATTCTGTGTTTTTTTTTTCTTTTTCAAGGCGTTTTATCAATTTTTCAAAGCCTTTTACGGTTTTCGCAGGGGGTTGAACCCTTTCACAAAGCTTTGAGGCTTTTCGATGAGCTACCTAGCTTTTATCCAAAGTTTGGTAACTTTATATAGGCTTAGTAGCCTTCTTCATTTTGTGATTAGCTAGTTAGTTTAGGGCTTTCTTCAAAATAGTTGCCGCCGAAATTCGAACCATTAAAATATCTCAAACAAATTCCTCTGACAATCTCTCTCCCAATCTCCCCCATGATCTTTCTCCCAATCTTTTCTACAATCTCTCCTCTCCCCCCTCCCCCGCTTCCAAGAATTTTTATACATACATCAAACCGGTTTACGGAGTGCATGCATTTAATGATAAGATTGAAGCTTAACAAAATTCCGAGGTTACCGCTTCCACCCACGAGAAAAATTTGCTTTGAAGAAACTATGTCACAGGAAAGATAGCATACATTCGATGATCAGAATGAAGGTAGATCGAGGAATTCAAAATGGAATAAGGGTTTCGGACTCGATTTTATACGGATTTGTATAATTAGGAGATCAAGATTAGTTATTGATATTTGTGTTTATGGGTTACGATGGTCAGTTGCTGGGGATATGGGGTCATCACGGACAATCGTGGTGGGTATTTACTACATGCCATTAAGATTTGCGAAACATAGTGTTCGATTAGTTCGATCTTCTGGAATAAATACATTGGATACATAAGTTTGAACTTTGGGCCAATGAGATCTTAATATTCTTAAAGTATTCAAAACGATATGTGTATTCCGGATGGTGTGAATTCTTCAGACCGGGTGACCTAAATAACTTAATACTCAATACACCTATCACCTCGCCGAAAAATCTGAGGCAGGTATTATCATAGCGCTGTCTATGATAGTCATGTTACCACAGTATTATTCACTATGAAATGACGGAGTGGATGTATTCGGTTCATTCTATCTGACCTCCTGGTGCGAAATGGGAATGACAAACCATGAGGAAATCTAATCTCACCCTTGTGAATAGATTTCTACTGGAGTAAGTACACGGTATATGGAGAGAGTAGAATACGATTGAGTCCATATAACAATTCCATATACCTGTATTCCGACACCAATCACTTGAACTTTTTGAACAATTCTATCCATTCCAAAGGTATCTCGTTACCGAAATTGTAGCTTAAATTACCAGAATCACATTCCACACTCTACATTAAAAGCAAATCCGATTTCTCTCCTATTTACTTCCAATCGTTTTCTGAATCATAGAACTCCTCACTTGCTTTGCTGATTGCAAGATAGAAGGGGGAAGTCGGCAATTTGGATCATTTGCCATCGCCTGAATTTTGGTCATCCATACACATACACATATTTCAGCCCCACCGTTTCCCCTTTCAGATTGAAAGTTTCTTCGAAATCCAAAGTGAAGTTAACACATGATTCTGTCCCCATTCCGCTTATCCTTTCTTTCCATCCTCAACTATCCCCTACTGTCCTATTTTTTGGATTTCTCTGCATTCATCTCTTTGAGTTTTGGGTTCCATCTTCATATTATTCTCTGGTAACCCCCCTCTCTTCACTAATTTCATCTCCGCTCTTATCGTCTCCAATTGTACCCCTTTCCTGTCCATTCTTTCCTGCCCCTCCCCCCTTATTCTTCCTATCCACAGGATCTGTAGTTGCCTTTGTGCCTCAGGTATAGACCACTAGCATACCCTACTTCCTATAAGTAGGGCCTCACTTTTCCATAGCCCTTCTACCCTTATGGTACAATAGAAGTTTTTACCCGTACCATGACAGGCATGGAGTTGTTGTCTATGCTAAGCTCAGGGTTGGTAGTGACAGTTGGGATGTAGGTACTTTTTACAATTTTTGGATTGCTTGAGTTGGTGGGGTTATTTAGCAAATGATGTAAGTATGCCACTCAGAAAACATCATGATTGAGGAATTACTATCCGAGATGGAGATAATGGCGAAATTATTGTTTATGAATTTTCCCTGATGTCGAAGTGATACTAACCGTCGGAATGGAAATATATTATGATCTCACGACTTGGGAAATAGTCCTAGAAACTCGGAGTCAAATACAACTTTCTTTTATTGACTGACTGTAAATTTTTTTTTTTTTTTTTTTTTATTCTTGAAAATAATATGATATTTTATTTTGTATGGAAAAAATAATATGATATTTTAGAAAAAAAAATAATAATATGATATTTTATTTTGTATGAGAAAATCAATATGATATTTTAGAAAAAAAAATAATAATATGATATTTTATTTTGTATGAGAAAATCAATATGATATTTTAGAAAAAAAAATAATAATATGATATTTTATTTTGTATGAGAAAATCAATATGATATTTTAGAAAAAAAAATAATAATATGATATTTTATTTTGTATGAGATTTCTCCATCAATATGATATTTTGGAAAAAAAAAAAAAAAAAAAATATTAATATGATATTTTATTTTGTATGGGAAAATCAATATGATATTTTGGAAAAAAAAAAAAAAAAAAATAATATTAATATAATATTTTATTTTGTATGGGAAAATCAATATGATATTTTATTTTGTATGGGAAAATCAATATGATATTTTGAAAAAAAAAAAAAAAAAAAAAATATTAATATGATATTTTATTTTGTATGGGAAAATCAATATGATATTTTTGAAAAAAAAAAAAAAAAAAAATATTAATATGATATTTTATTTTGTATAGGAAAATCAATATGATATTTTATTTTGTATGAGAAAATCAATATGATATTTTGGAAAAAAAAAAAAAAAAAAATATTAATATGATATTTTATTTTGTGTAAATAGTTAGCATCACGAAAATGTGAGATCGTATTGTAGTATCGCTCAATTCGCTTGAAGGGGGTCGATAACTTCACTTTCATGAATCAGAGAATCCTATCACACAAAAGCATTCCAAAACTACAATGGTGCTTTTTGAAACAAGTAACATCTAATATAGTGGTTCTAAATAACTTTGATGATGAGGAGAAACAGATAAGGTTGAGGGGCTGAGGGGGGTTAGAAAAGAGAGGTCAGAAAAGGGGGAGGGGAGGGGATTAAAAAAAGAAGCTTGGAAGAGGAGAGTTGGAAGAAGCGAGAAGATACCGGGAAGAAGTAAAATAAAGAGAAGAGGAACGATAGAAAGTTAATCACATATAAGGCAGGCTCAAAAAAAGCGTGTGTGATGCCAATCCGAATGGAACTTTTTGAGGTTGGGGGAGGAGGAACTTTATCTAGATAGATGGGACAACACATATACAGTACTCAACTCTGATAGGATGTTGAAGGAAGCAAGATAGAAAGAGCAATCAGAAACCTGTAAGTGGTAAGACCTTTAAATGGAAAGGGATATGAGAATCTCCATAACAGACTTCCTCGTACTATAATTCAAACTCTCGAAGCTGTGCTTGAGCTCACTCGTGTCGTGCTAACATCTAGAGTATGATGCGCAAAATCCTGGCCATTTTTTCAAGGTGGATTTATATCACAATCACTAAGTAAAAAGATCACTTACCTACAGCATTATTACTTCTGTTTTCAAAGGGCGTTATATCATGCCAATCTTGCGTGTCGCTTAATTTCCTGGGTTGTACTCCTGGACTAAGTCCAACTTCTGAAACCCACTTTCGATTTAAGTTATGGCATTGTTTGTAAGTGTGCCTCAAGATCTACAGGATATCAGTCTATACTAATACTGCTTGAGAAAATGTCTACGCCGACTCATCACAACATCCACCCGCAAACAATTAATGGTGCACCTGGACTCATCTCGCCAATGCTAACATCAGCACCGCTGCTCCATCAAATTGCTGTGGCAGTTCCCTCCAAATTTAGAATACATGAGATGTAAATGGTTGTGTAATTGACTATTATGCAGCAACTACTAGTAGGTCTTTGGCACGGATTTTAGCAACAGCGCTGGAATGTACTGTTACAACGAGTTTGGGTGTGGGAAAAATGAGAATCGAGAAGAAGATTTTGATGGGATGTTGATCAATGCCGGATTGTGGGTTATGGTGGGGTTTGAAATGAGAAAGAGAGATTATGAGTTGGGGCGATGAGCTCAAAGAGATGAGCTTGGAGAAGTGAGCAGATGTTTCCGAAACTTTCAACTAAATAACGAGAGTAGACACTGATTTTGGGTACATGGGGGATAAAATTTTCAGATTATTTGGTCAGAGTAGGAGAACAGATGTACAGCGATAAGAAAAATTCAGAACATCTTCAGATCTGTCAATCCGTTTCTATCACCGCACAAACAGGCTATGCTCAAATAAGCATCCGATATCCAAACATCAATACCGCAAAATCTCTACCACTGCTTCATATCAAATGAAATCATAACCCTACTCACACATCCTCCTCACTTTCTGCATCCTCCCAACTTTCATCAAGCCAAACCAACCCTAACCCAATCGACAAGCAGTCGGTGGACAATACCCATGATTACAACTATAACTACACAATCCCAAATAACTATCATCTTCTCCTGGCAACGGATACCCCGCTTGATTTGTAATTGGTGGCTCAGGGATTTGAGCGCCATATGATAAACATGTACAAGGACCAGGGGGACAATAGCCAAAGTTGCAGGTAAATTGACAGAGACCGATATAATTTCCTGGACCCCAGCCTGAGGTACAGACTGTAGAGGGAGAAGGTGTTGAAGGGGAGGTGGATGTTGAGGAACTGGAAGTTGAGGAAGAAGTTGTGGTCGTGGTGGGGATAATGGACGTGGTAGAAGTGGAAGAAGTGGAAGAAGTAGTAGAAGTGGTGGAAGTGGTCATGCTGGTTGTTGATGTAGTTGAATTTGGGGGGGTACTTGTCGTACTCGTTGTGGTAATAGAACTAGATGTAGACGATGTAGAGGTAGAGGTAGAAGTTGTGGTTATTAAAGTACTTGTTGAAGTTGTTGTGGTTGGTGGT